TGATGTAATGGAGGAATTTGGTACAATGTGAAGAGTCTTAATGATGTAATTGTATAAAGCAAAACTGTGGAATATGGATTTACAATTCGTCTTCTAATTTAGTTACTTGAAGGGAACCAGTCTGCCTTTTTTGCATTAGTAAAAAAATTAGGAGTGAAGAGTGTGCATAACTAAGATGTTGACTTGGAGTCACAGCTAATTTTGAAGATACTACAGCCTTACAAAAGAGAGTCAGTCAGCATCAACTCAGACAACTGGCTTATATGTTATATAGTAATATAAAACTCTTAACAGGTGTTACAGAAACATTTGTACAGTTAAAATGTGGGAGCTTTGTGTAAACTTACTGTTTTATTAGCATGTTTTTCCTGTCTGTTTTAAAAACAGAGTTCATGAATAAGTCATGTAAAATCTAAAAAGGACGTAATATCAGTTGATCCCCCAAACCAGGATTTTATTTTATGGAGCCTATTGATTATTTGTGAAAGTTAGCAAAAACTGGGATCTTTTTCTGAACTGATTGACTTTAGTCATTTTTTCTCCACATATAAGTGTGATATCATAGTGCTTCTTTGCAGTACTGTCTTTTGCTTTATCTGTGTATTACTGCTCTGATGTTTTTTGATGTCATAAATTGTGATTGTTGATAACCTCATAAAAAAGAGGAAGAACTAAATTTCTTTTGCTCTTATCCCAATACAAAAATCATTGGGGAGGGGGGAAAAATATCTAGAGAAAATGTTGTAAATTTAATAGACATGATATAAATTTCTTCAGTTATTTTAAGAACTGTGGGGTTTGGGGGTTAGTTATGCCTGCTATAGAGCTGGGATCATGAAAATATTATGTTTACTGTTGTGGACTGATTATTATCAAAAGATGCTTTGATATGTAGCCATTTACTTCCTTTTTGTGTGGCTGTATTTGGTGGCCTTAATTTGCATTATCAAGCCTTTTTTTAATGCTGGTTTTGATATGTGTTAGCACCGAGAAACAGAATAATTTTTTTCTAAGCATTCATTTTTGAGAATTAGAATTACAGTTGCTTTGAATTAGATTAGAGGAAAGCAAGATGGTGAGTACCATTTTTTTCCCCTTCTTCTGTATGATTTCACTTATTGCTGTTACAGTATATGTGACATTTAGGCATACCAGAGTGGAAGGTTAGTATGGAATCTGTGCAGACTCTGTGGGTGGCATACAGTTTTCCACAACAATTCAAGACAGTTGGCCTCTTTGAAAGGTTAGCAGAAAAATATATCCACCTAAGGGTAAATAAATATAATGAAATGATGTAAGTTTGAGGTCTTTCTATTCTTCCCCCACTAGATCTCACAAATCCTCTTATTACAGATCTTGCATAATACTCTGTTGAGAGGTGTTACCCTTACACTTCCCAGTATGCACAAACACATGCCCTGCATTTCTGTCAAAACGTTGGATGTTGACAACGAACTCTGTTTAAACTGTTTAAGCTAACAATGGGTCGCTTAGACTGAAATGATTTAGGAAGCAATTCAGCTAAAAGATCTGAAAGAAGTGCTAATGCAATTGGCAGGCAGTGACAAGCAGCTGGATGGCGGGTGGTCAGTAACCTTTCCTGCTGTCACAGCCACTTCAGAAGGCTTCTCTGCCCAGTGGCTTTCTTGGGAGCCCCACCTCTCAGAAGCTTACCAGGCTTTTGGATCCATCTGCCTCTACAGCGGTTTGATTCCCAGGGGCCTAACAAAAGAAAAGGAGGGTCTGGAGTCACTTGGATTTTAGACTATAGGAAAAATTTCCAAGTTTGATCTCATTCTCTCATCCTTATCATTCAAGTTTTATTTGATGTATTTCTGAAGACTTGTACATTTGGTAGCATTAAAGTATGCGTACTTATGCATAAATTGGTCACAATGACTTGTTTCCTCATATAAGAGTCGCAAAATATAAAAAAGCTGAAACATTGGTAACCATTGAGCAGTGAATTGCCTGTTATTTTCATACTTCTTCACACGGAATGCACTCTGGAATGATTGTCAAGATTTTGATCACAAAATAAAATAAGCCCCTTTGTCTTGCAAGTTTATGTTTAATTAGTGTCACTGTTCTGATATGAGATTCTGTCCATCACATGGAACAAGGGAAGGGGGTGAAATTCTTCTGAAGCTGATTTTACTTAAGTTTTAAACTTTTCAAATCATATTTGATTCCTTTCTTAAAAACATTTATTAAATAAAGAAAGGGAACAACATTCTTTAAAAACTTCTCTAAAGTTGTGCAAGCCATGCAGAAGAATTCTACAAGAGCCAGAAAACTGAAAATTCATCTCTCTGATAGGAAATCTGAAAATTACATTTTATTTTCAGGTCTATACCATTCCAAACTTTGCAGAGAGCTTTTCTTTCTTACAAGAGTAGTTAACGCCGATTCATTAAACTCATTTTCCTGTGGAAAGTACACATTTTACTGAGAATTTGTGAAGAACTGACATGGCCATTGTTCATCAAATGAGTATGCTGCTGTTCTTGGAATGTTTCTATTGTGTTCATAGCCAAATCATGAAACTCAGGAACTTTGATCTGTCTTCATTGTTAGGCAGTAAATCAATGCATATGCTTCCAAAATGTGTTATTTCAAGAGACTCTGTGTCTTCTCCTTATTGGATATTACAGGGACCAAGCACAGGTTCTTTTGAGTGACGTATCTATAAGATTTTGAAACAGTAGGGCAATCATGCTCAAAAGAATTGAAATGTACCCTTACAAGTTAAATGAAATAAATTTACAGCCTGATGTCTTAGCTGAACAGTCTTGGAAATAAACACAAAATAGGCAGTGTGGTGTTCGTCGGATTGTACGAAGCCTTTGCTTGAAGGGAACATTGCAAAGTGACCTTAAACTACTTGTCTGTGTGCTTGCAGTAATAGGTTTTCATACTTTCTTCTACCTCCCTTGCGGAAGTTGCTTGCTAGACCTGACCCAAGCAAAACTGATACCTTACTATTAACTCTTTGCCTTAGGAGATATTTTAAGAAAGTAAGTATTGTAGAGTGTATTGGATGGAACCTTCGTGTTGATAGTCATACCTTGGTATTGATGCTTGAACTTGTGTTATCAGTGCGCACTTAGTATATGACTTTTAACAAGTAACTAATCTTGAAAAATTTCAGAGATATATTGTAAGAGGACAAAGTTAATTTTTTACTTTATGTCTTAATTTGTCTGGTAATACTAGTGAGAGGCCCTTTGCTTTTTACTAAGATGTGTTTCTTTCTCTGTCACCACACTTGATCCACTATATCTCATTGTGCTAAAGGTAGTTCTGACAGATCTGAGATGAGATCTTAGTGTTTTAACTGTTCTCATTTAAAGGCTTATCTCAACATGGAATGCTTTCTTTTCAGTTTTGGTTTTATTATTTTGTTGGTTTTTTTCTAACTAGAATAATAAATAACCATTAAATTTCCTTTTCTATATAATTCTTTTTTCATATTTGTGAATCTAGAATATGCTACAGAAGTAACCATGTTTTTCTCCCTCATGTTCACTTTTCACGGGTAATATATTTGTTAAGCACTGGATCACATTTTTTTCCATATACCAATTTAGTTCTGTACTATAAAAATATTTCTAGCTCAGCAGTTTGGGGTTTTTTTTACATGCAAAACATCTGAGTTTAACTAGTTTGTGGTGTCAGTGATACCTATGCAACACAGTGCGATTAAATTGGTGTACCCAGATGTTGTTCGTTGTTATCTGATGTAGTAGTTTATTTACATATCAAATATTTTGATCTTCAATTCTTCTGTTTCATATCAGTTGTTCTTGCAGGGCTTCACACACACAAAAAACCCCCTCAGTTCTATTAAAGAGAATCTGAATGCCTCATCGTATATGGGCCAATGATAAGTTTGTAAAGCTATAATTTCAAACTTCTTGCGAATATGACCTTTTCAGGAGACAGGAACTGAATGACAGAGCAGAAACCTCTAACGAAATATAGAGTTTCAGATGAATTAATTTGTTTTTAATCGTGTTATATAGCCTTTCATACTAAATTTGAACATGCTTTGTTAGGCACTAAATTTTGCATATTTCAAACATATTAGAAAATAGAGAATTATGAATTTCAATTTGAATTCCACCCAAAAAGCAACAAATACATAGTTTAAGTTGTGTATGATTTTGCCTTTTAGTCACTGTAAGATAACATTTGTGATGAATATCTGCTTTCTGGACCAATTTTCCAAGGTAATTTAAAGCACCTATGGCCTGCTGTACTAGCTGAGTTAAGAACAGATCCCTGAGGCAAAGAATGAGAGAGCAGGGAACGTTTTTCATCTTCTTACTGATTGGTGATTTGAAAAAATGGTGCTGCTCATTGATAAGCTTGAAATGCTGATGAGAATCTAGTTAGATGTTCATACTGCATACTCGGATAGCAAACCACAGGCAAGCATTTTTGTGGAAAGTCAAAAATATTAGAATGTTCCTGCTCATGTTATTTGTATGTTATACTGTGAATAAAATTAGAAGTAAGTAGTAGGTCTTTATTTGAAAAACATATTGGGGATGTCTTATGGAAGAACACTTCCCTGGGAACCTTAAGATTAAAAAAAGATTAAAAAGAAGCTGTGTAATGTATGCTCTTCTGTGAAGCTGAATCTGATACTAGTCCAAACATTTTATTAATATAAGCAGTAAATAACATTTACTGAGAGAAGTGATTTGGAAGGCGTGCCATCTGCAAGCATACCAAGAAACTGGAAAAATCTGAGCGACAAAATTAAAAAAAAAAAAATTGAAGAACCATTTAGAATTATCTGGGGACTAACAAAGTTTAATACTAGGACCAACTTGAACTGAGCATAAAATATGATGTCCATAAAGACCCAAGCTGTCTGCATTTGTTCCTGAAAGATACCAAAAATGAGCAAAATAGTTGGTTTTTACTCTTCTAATTAAAATTATTAAGTTGGGTGTTTATGCTGTGTGTAATCTTTCCATGTGTTTTTACAGGAAAAGCATAAACAGGAGTTAGAAGACATGAGAAAAGCTGGACATGAAGCCTTGAGTATTATTGTTGAAGAATTCAAGGTAAATGAGTTGCCAAGACAATACAATTTCTACATAATATTATTGTAATAGTTTATAAGTATGCACTACAGACAGTCTTTAGTACTGCTTGTTCTGGTTGCTCAACTTTTTCACTTGAAGACTGACTTTTCTGTCGCTTTCAATTTAGATGATTAAGGCCTAAAATTTTGCATGACATGTTTTCTCACTCCGCACTTTCAGAAAGTTCAGATAAAGTTGATTAGCCATTTTCAGTAATGAAACTTGAAACTATAACAAAACAAAAAATCTCAAGCAATTGTGGTAAACTTTTGGCTCATTTTTTTTTATTACATATCCGTATTCTGGACCTCCTAAGTCTCAATAAACTGCACTTGCAGGAAGGCAGCCTCACGGAGCAATTCAGCAGGTTTTTATCTACAGGGCACTAAAAGAAGGGGTTAAGGATGAAACTAGGCTGAATCTATAATTCTCTCATGTTGTTCTTGGTTCCTTTCAGCTGATAAGATGAAAGAATTGGATGTTACCATGGAGGATAAATCTATGATTTTATACTGTTATGAAAAATTTCTACTAAGAAATACACAGAGGACAGAAACTGAAACAAGTTAGGAGAAGGATTAGGTAAAACTAAGAATTCTAATTAGACTTAAAGAAGTAGAGAAGATCTGACAAGGGAAAAGAAATCTTAATGGGAAATTGAAAATGAGGCTGTTTTTGAGAATGGACCTTCTCATACCTGTTAGGCAACTGTGAGCTGGGAACACAAATCTGATGGTGTGGTTAGCGAAGGTGAAATTCAAATTGTTTAGCAATTGTAATTTGTGAACAAGGAATGTTCTGACATGGAGAGGACAAAGGCCCAACTGCAGAAAGGTTTAAAGTTACTGGAAACAGGAATACCGGAGATAGGAGGACTCCAGGTGAGGGAGTGAGGTTTCCCTTAGTAATGAGGTATGTCACAGTTTTGTCTTGTAGCAATCTCTCCTGCCATATGAGTTCTCAGGGACCGTTTCTGGCAAACAGAGCTGACACTGGGGGATGAGCTGAACACTAGGCTAAGGTACCCCATGGTAATGCTCACGATTGGTGCTGGTGCAAGTGTATGTAAAGAATTGTCTCATGTTGCATATTTGCAGACTCCTTGTAGAGCTGCTTATCGAGGCTGGACTGTCCAATCCATTGTTCATTAAATCTTTTTGTGTTTAAGCACAAGCATTTTTAATTTACCCTAAGGAATATGATAAAAATTCCCCAACATTAGTTAGGATTGGAACACACCTGGCAAAGTAAAAAGGAGAGCATTGAGGTCGGGTCTTGCAATTCAGGTAACAAGCTGAAAGCTTGAGTCTAGCACCTTCTGGTCATGAAACCAGCAATACTTTGTTAAGGTGGGTAGATAGGTTGGTTTGTTTTCACCAGATACCAAAACATACTTGCAACATACTTGCTTTCTGGGTGTGTGAGGAGGTGCTGCTCACCGACAGCCAGATTCCAAGTCTGCTACAAAATTTGGGATCTTAATGTTGTGCAAAATTTTTTAATTAGTTTCTTATGGGGCTCATGTGTAAGGTAGGCCTACCAAGTTCCAAGTCTGAGAGCGCACCACCCTATAGGAGACCTGATGATGCTTTTAGGTCCCACTGCTTGAAGGCAGCCCATGGTGTAGGCTGGAGAAAAGTGTAAAATAATTCAAGTCATCATACATCTTTGCAACAACTCATAAGAAGTAAAGCTTTTCATAATTTTACTAGGAACTGTTGGTGGTGTTCTATCTAGTGTTGGAATTAGACTATCAGAAATAACATCTCTCTCTATTAGTACAATGTATACTAATTTCATCTAAAAGGAACATATCCAGAATAAAATTTCTAGAATTTAATTCCTGAGAAAAATTAAGTGTAGTCACTGGTGTTGTCCCATTTCTCCATACTTCCCTCATTTTGCTTCTAGAGGAGAATTACTGCATTTCTTTTTCCCTTACTTCTTTGGGGACTGCTTTGCCATACAAGTTTTCAAATGGGTATTTTCCTCAGACTGTCCCACTTTGGATGGGCCACTGAACAAAATTTCTAAAATTTAATTCCTGAGAAAAGTTAAGTGTAGTCATTGGTGTAGTGTAGTCATTGGTTAAGTGTAGTCAGTGGCCCATTTCTCCATACTTCCCTCATTTTGCTTCTAGAGGAGAATTACTGCATTTCTTTTTCCCTTACTTCTTTGGGGACTGCTTTGCCATACAAGTTTTCAAATGGGTATTTTCCTCAGACTGTCCCACTTTGGATGGGCCACTGAACATGTTGCATATAAGCATTTTTCATTTCTCTCTTGTGACAGAAGTGTATAAAAATATCTGACTCTTTCTGTGTGAACTTTTATTTTGAAGAACCTAGTGAGTTATCAGTAATTGCTGTACTCTCCTTTTTATTTCTGCAGCAGTTTTATAGTATTGAATAAAAAGTTCTGTATCTTTTCAAGATATAATTCTTCACCTTTTTAATGCCTTTGAGCTGAAGGAGGGTTTTGCATGGATGATATTGTCCCTTCTAAGGAATAATTTCTTCATGTATCAGTTGGGTAAAGGAATGTTGCATATTGATTTTTGGAAACTGTTTTACCTGTGAACAGCACCTGGGAAGATCTGAGATGCTGTCTGGAAGAGAATTTCTATTATCAGTTTCTATAATTTATTGTAAAACGTGAGGGATTTAATTGAATACCATGATTCCAAGGCATATTTATATTTAGCATATTATTTCTCATAGGCTGTTTATATTCAAGTTATATAAAGACATTCTTTAATACCAGGGAGTCATGGCATGAATACACAAGTCTTCCTGTTGCCTCATGTGGTTAGTTGCCATATTTTGGTCAATGAGATCACAGTACTCTGAGGAGAAATAACATCAGATATGCCAGCCTCTGAGTAAAATACTGCAACCAACCTTGTCTGCAAACATGCAGTGAGTTATTCTTCATGGTAGCAGGAAAAATCTAAAAGTTTGTTAGGTTAAAAAAAAAGCACAATTCTTTTTTTTCTTAGTTGTTTGTAGCTTAAATACCTTTTTAGTCACCCTTTACCATGTACTTAATAAAAAATAAAACAAAAATAACAGTGACTCATCAGAGAATTCAGTGAACGCACAAACTCGTCTGTAGTTTCGTTTGAGAAAATAATCTTATGGATTCTTTTTAAAAGTTAGTCCACAGTTAGCATTTCAATACTGAACAGGGTTAAGATTTTTTTTTTTTTCTTAAGTAAATGAATCAAACATGATTTTGTAATTATCAAGGTAATATTTTACATTTTGGTGACTTTTTAACTGTTCATATCTTTAGGAATTTATTATATTTATTAGACATCTTGGCAGTAGATAGTCGAATAACCAAATAAGAAGGCCTACATATATACATACATTCATAGTTTAAGAATGTAAAGTAAATCTGATTAGTATTTTTAGTCAAATACAGAATTATGGAATTTATTGAGTCTCTTAATTCACTTCTGACTAGCCATGCATAATTTCCT